ATTATGAATGAAATATAAATATAGTGATGATTAATTAAAATATATAGTCTATGTAGCACTCGGGTTTCTTGATATTATATGATGTTTGATAAGGACTTTTGAATATGATTTGATCCGCGAGGATCAAATCAGGCGTTTGGTCTTAAAAGCTATCTGCTCTGTAATTGTCATAAAATATATTTATGAACAATCATTAATTGTAGAAAAAGTACGTTATGTAGTTCCTTCAATTTGGGATATGATAAACTCTATGGAAAGAGCTTTCGAATGATGTATTGTTTGTCCCGATCGTATGTGGCGTTTGGCCGTAATGGCCGAAAGTTCCCGATCTTCCATAGGAATATATGTAAATATGGTTCAAGTGCCAATTGTAGGGAAAGTACCTTATGTAGTTTCTTCATTCTGTGATATTATTTGATGTTTAATAAGAGCTTTTGGTTAGTGTATCAATTGTCCAAATCCTATGTGGCGTTTGGCCACAATAGCCGAAAGTTCCCGAACTTGCATAGGAATATATGTGAATATACTCGGGCGCTTATTGCCAGAAATCTGTGTTATGTAGTCTCTTTAAGTTAAGGCATGTTATGTGGCTTTTGATGGGCTTTAGATTGGTGTATTGCTTGACCATATCGTATGTGGCGTTTGGCCACGGCGGACTCTTTACCGAACCTCGGTAAATGTAATATGCAATAACTTATGAACGGCTTATAGCGGGACCATGATATTCACATGGTATATGAAGTCTATTAATGCGATTATAATGATGTATGATTGGTGTCTGTCCGACCCTCGGGATTACCGATTCTGGCCAGATTACCGATATCGTAATCGGCTCATAGCGGGACCATGATATTCACATGGTATATGAAGTCTATTAATGCGATTATAATGATGTATGATTGGTGTCTGTCCGACCCTCGGGATTACCGATTCTGGCCAGATTACCGATATCGTAACTTAATGTATGGGTATATTCATACATGTTTACAATATAAATGCGAGTGTAATAGAATATATGAGTAGTACATATGTATTTGAGTAGAGTATTGGCGCGAAAAATATATAGAGTAGAGTCACGTGTCAATTAGGTATTAATTACGGGTCTTAACTGTAATTAAGGTTTACAGTAACTAGTGTTTAGATACACTAATTAGTTTTTCCTGACACGTCTCAACGAAACCATGAAATACATTATATTCATAACGTATTACATCGCACATCCGGGTTGTCTAATAATCATTTACCTAGTTCATAATAAAGACAGCGATATATCAACACGTTTGGTCATGGCTATAATAATGATATTTATGTTCATATTTTCAATAATTATTGTTATTTGGGAAGTTTTAATTACTAGAGCCGCTCACAAGCCATACGAGGTATTGATGTCATACCTGTCCTCTCCCGTACCGGTGCTCTCACTGTGCGATCGGTTGAAAGTGTTTGCATTCATAGAGAGGCTATCGATGGGACCCACAATCGGCTTCTATTGCTTGGATTTGTTTCCCATTACTTCTTATGAAATTTATCAATTCTTATATATCAGTGGTTTAAATTATGTGTTACTTATATCGACGTTTTAAAAATAATTTAGCTTATTGTTATATCCTGTATTTGTATTTTGACATTTAAATATTTTCAATGATAATATTAATTAATTACCAATAATAAATTACATAAAATTGATATTATTACTTAATTTTTAAAATAATTTTACAGAACAAAGTCCCATATGAAATTTTTGCATTTATTTAACCATTTATTTATTTACTTCTTATTTATTTAATTATTTAAAACAAGTAAATTATAAATTAGATAATACGTTAATGAATAACAAAAATATCAATCATGTATAATTTTTACAAAAATAAATTGCATACAAAAAATATGATTGAACAATACAATTCAGAAAAACGAGTTCAGTTTAATCACACACTAATTAAATACCATTATTGATTAATTAGTACATGGCCCATGATACATCAAACTTATAAGCTAGAAACAATCCAAATAAACACAATTAGCAACACTAATAATATTACATCATTCATGATAAATTTACAATGAGCTACCGGTGCCGTCCACTCCATAGCCATCTGTGCCTCCAAACGGGTCCGAAATCTAACAAATGCCAGATAATTGCGAACAATCCGTACGCCATCCACACGTAGGGCGCCGTTGAATGCAAACAAATCGGCCAACAGTTGCCTCCCGGAGCGCAAGTCAAGCCTCCGGACACATAGCGTACGGATCTATCAATAATAACACATATCATGTTCATTGAAACTGGAGTAATACGAGTTATAAACTACAACTAACCTCATCGCAAGCATCGCCTGTATCTCCCGGTGTCAGCCACTCAAACGTCAACCGATTGGCGCCGACATACAAACCCTGGGCCAACACCCGACGGGCCATAGCGGCCGAGTAGTGGCTCCTGTACTCGACTACCAGCTGCCGACTGCGCTCTACACCGGTCACCACATCCCGTACCGTAACCACACCGTCTGTAGCCGTCGACAGCCCGATCGCCAGCTCCCGGAGGGGGCAATCGTTGGGCACATTACCCACGCTTAGGGTCCGTATATCGTGCGATAGCCTGACACTGATGGGAGTCCCGGAGCTGCGTTTGATGGGTCGGTTGTCCAGTAGATTAATGGCCACTCGTGCGGCCCATGGGTTGCTGTACTCGGCGAAGGCGTAGCCCCGGCACCGGCCGCTGAAGTTTACCATTAGACGTAGAGTGACCACAGGTCCGGCGCCCACCTGTTCGAGCGCCGGCACCAACTCGTCCTCGTAGTAATCAGATGGCAATCCCCGTATGAATAGCTCACAGCCCGGCGCCGGTGGTGTGAGTGGGCTGTACCGGCTGTAGATACGTTGCCCGTTGTGTTGAGTGATGTTGTGGTGCGGGTGAAGGGCCAGTAGGGCCTGTATTTCTGGCCCATCTATGGGTTTTGTACACATAGTTATGAGTTTTGCAAAAATGAGTTGTTTTTTGTTATAATTCAATAAATATAATTCAGTTTTTAAAATGCTATGTGTTTTCAAGTATTGTATTTGTTTCATTTTTTGTTACATTATACGAGTTGTAATAGTATACCGCTTGTGGTGACCAATCGTTGGTGTTCATTAGGAAGTGCTAGATGATTTTTGTTTATATTACAGTATATGCCCGATATAATGAACAATCTTTGTTTATTTAAATTTTATATACTTAATTTTAGATAACGATTAGTACAAAAATATTTATTTTTATATTTTATTAATGATTCTTATACTGGGTTAATTTACTTCAATAAATGACATAATGTGCCTGTTAATTATAGTTTATAATTAATTATATTATACCTAGATTTGTAGTGTACTTCATATGTTTTCTGTGGGTATGAAATATGATAGCAATGCTTATGTTAATTGAATGAATCATTTGTTTATTTATAAA